TAGTAATCTCCTGCTACAGGCAGCCAATGACCTAGCATGTCCTTCATCCACTCACTTTGTCTTGACAGACATTATGCATTATCTGGCTGCTGAAAGGTTCTGGAATCCATCAAGACTGAGTGTCCAAATATAAAGGGAAAGCCTAGAGAGTGTTGTTCTTGCCCCTACATGACATGTTGCACCTGCTAAAATTCTTTATTTTACATGTCTATTGAAGAGATCATAATACTTTCTCAAAAGATATATTAGATGTCCTGAATCTGTAGCTTCCCAATGGTATGCATGTCAGTCCTTTTCTACTACACCTCCTGGCTTCTTAAATGAAAGCCCTGGCAACATAGCCAATACATTGTCCAAAATGATATCTGTTTCAGTACCAAATCTTTCAGTATGAAAAGTATGCTGTCCTTAAATTTGCATCCCCACCAGTCTTGGTAGAACATTGTTATTTTGCATTATTATGTATCTTTAAAATAAAGTTGATTTAAAAATGTATTCTCGAAGGCTTTCATGGCTGGGATCTGATGGTTGTTGTGGGTTTTTCGGGCTCTTTGGCCGTGTTCTGAAGGTTGTTCTTCCTGACGTTTCGCCAGTCTCTGTGGCCGGCATCTTCAGAGGACTGGAGTAGGAACTCAGTCCATGCTCTGTTGCCGTTTGTTGGATAGTCCTCTGAAGATGTCGGCCACAGAGACTGGCAAAACATCAGGAAGAACAACCTTCAGAACACGGCCAAAGAGCCCAAAAAATCCACAACAACCATTGATTTAAAAAATTCTTCTGGTTTCATGTTCAACCCAAACAGAAGACTTTTATGCCACACGTGGAAAATTTTTTGACAAAGTCCTTAGGAGAACTCCAGGAAAAATGAGTTGCATAAATGTAAGGCTGCCAAGAATGTCTTTCACCAAATTGACATTCGTCATTTAAACAAAGTACAGAAATTGTGCGGTAAACATTTTTTATTTTTCCTTCTATTTTGCCTCTCTTACACTTACAGCTGTTTGCTGTTGTTAAAAGTAGTGTAATAAATGAGTGTACCCAGCAAAGGTATGTACTGGATACAGAAAATCCAATAACCTATTGTCTTAACCTAAGCTCACTCACACATCGAGCTTGCCCAAGAAAGTTTTAGTGCACTTCCAAAAGGATATGGGTTCAGTTTTTGATTCTTCTTCTTCTTCTTCTTCTTCTTCTTCTTCTTCTTCTTCTTCTTCTTCTTCTTCTTCTTCTTCTTCTTCTTCTTGCATGTAGCATAATCTGACCTCTTTTATTTCATGTAATGAAGTACATACAGAAACATTATCATCCTATCAGTTTCATCTCCCCCTACCTTGTGGCCTGAAGAAGGGTTTCTCTAGAACCTGAAACAAAGAAACGAAACCAGAAAGATTGTCCACTACATTGTAACATTTTAACCAGACCTAAGAAACACATTATCTTATGTTTATTTTTGGATTTCTTCAGTATTAAAAGAGTTCTACAACCAACTGGCAGCTAGCAAGAACACCATGATGTTTCTAATATTCAGTGTATACGTTTAATTGAAAAATTACAATCCACCTAGTCATTACATAAAACTGACATTTCCTTCATCTTCCACCACAAATCAAAGGTTTCAACTATCCTTAAGAAACACCAGAGAAGCACAATTATGGAAAATAGTGCTATTTTGTTCCTTTTGGGTCCCTAAAGGGTGGAGAAAAACAGAGCAGACAGCAGCTGCCTGATCTAATATTATGTTACTCTTATTACAAGGAAGCGATTGTCAGTTCACAATCTTTCTTTCTCTCATTAGACAAAGTCCCTATCTATCTCAGAACTTTTAGATATAATTCAAATGTGTTTTCAAATGTGTTTTCAACGCAGTTTTCAGCACAACTCCCAAATAGATTTCACTTTGGCAAGATATTAGATCAAGCCAGATATTTACTATATAAAGGCATGACAAGGTTTCCTGTTATTTTGATTAGGTCACTGTTAACACTTAGTCACTCCAAAAAGAACATAGTGATTGCTTCAATAAATACATTAGATTGATGGTTTGTTTTGGAGAATTAGAACTACATAATAATTCACTAATTTTTGAGGATATACTATTTTTATTTCTTTTCAGGATATGTGTGCATGTGCACGTAGCAGGCACAGGTTATAAAATTGCAATATGAAAATTTTAGGATTAAATTGGATGTTGTTTTTTTCTCACTAAGAAGGTTTCAAAGCAGATAATAACTGAAATAACAGCCAGGAAGAAAGCTTGTGTCATGCTTCTAACCAGGCATTTTTTAAAATAAGCTATGTAAGTCTGATAAATGTTCATATCATTCCAATTAAGGGAAGAAATCTGTTCTATTGGTCAGTACTTTGAGAACTGAAAGCAAAAATTGTTGACAATTTAAGTGTTAGTCTGTTGTTGGAGGAAAAACAGAGGATCTTGTGGCACCATAAAACAGGGGTGGGAAAAGGCTATTTGCAGATGGCATGCAGACCCCACTGAGTCCTTCAATGCCCCCTGACCCAATTAAGTCCCCCCACCAAAAGAGGAGGGGGGTACAGAAATGTTTGTTTTTTTGTATGAAACAGATCAGAAGCTACCTCAGACCTGAAATCCTTCCTCTGAAAGTCCAGAATCAAAAACTTTAGGAAGCATCTCTCCATTTCTAGTTAGGATTTTTTTAACGTGAGGTAGGAGACAGCTAGTATTGTCCAGAGAAAATTTGGCCCCCAAACCCACCAAATTTGCTTTATGTGGCATAAATTTTCATGGACTGCGGTCCATATATCAGATGCTGAGTACATCCTGGTACAACACAGTAATTTGTACATAGACATTATGGGGAGATGGTAGAAGGTAGCCCATGGGCCACAGGCAGCCCCCAGGATTTATATACCCTCTTGCCCCTCCCAGGACTTCCTAGATCGCTCTTTGTTTTGATCTGAACATCTGGAGACCTCCCAAGACATGTGACACGGCATTAAAACAATGCACAGGCTTCCCTGCACCTTATTTACAACATGCAACCAAGTAAGTCAAACTGCAAGTAAATGTTATGTGACTTCTGGTTTTTCTTTTCTTTTCTTTTTTCTTTTTTTCTATTGGAGGGGAGTGCTACTTGCAGCCTCCCATGGGTATTGGAAAAGGAACTTGGCACCAAAGACTTTCCAACATCTCTGGCCTATAGACCCTAATGCTTGCCACACCCTGATGGAGACATAAGTAGCTTTTATTAGTTCTCTGGAAAAGCACCAGGCAGATTTTACCTGATGTCCATAGAGCAGTCTCATAGCAAATAGGCAATGCTTGGGATAGTTGTTACTTTTTGGCCTGCTGACAGTAGTTTCTGGAGTGTAATTGGTTGTGGTAGTTGTGGGATTTGGGGACTTGTAGTCCAATTGCTGTAGGCTGGGGGGCTCAGATATACAGTACTGTATTTACATCCCCTGGAGCCATCACTCAGGAGTTCAGTAGTTTTTTTTTTTATTTGATTCCATTTCCTTTCTTCTTGATTGCTCCAAGTGGGGGCAGATCAGGAGGTATCAGCCATCAATCATAACTGGATCTCACAACATACATTGTTTCTAACCTCAGGTACAAGCAGAAACATCATGTTCGCTGCACAGGGAAAGGGGGTAGCTAACCTTTCCAGGAAAAGAACAGGGCTTCTTCTCCTTTTAATAGCTGTGCGAAAGAGTGAATCTACAGTATTCAAACGGTCTCTTACAGAAGGTATTAACCCTGACTTTTCGCATTGCCACCCTGTCCCGAAAAGCTCAGAACACCGTAAGAATCTGTACCATAAACAGACAACCCGGTGGTGAGTTCTATCAACCAGGGCATCACAGTGTCGTCTATAAAGTGTCACCCCGCCAACAGCAATGAAGGTTTCATTCCTGTTACTACCAGTCAGGTGCCAGGGGTTGTGCAGTGGCAATTCAATTGTGTGTAAGAGCGGCGGCAGCAGCCTGTGTCCCCTTTTGTTCGTGAAGCATAAGCGCCCTTCTGACGACATAAAGCAGCCTTGCTTTACCACCAAGCTCTTATTTTGGACGCGCGGGCTGCGTTGCGCAAGACTGTTCTTGGAAGAAGAGGAAGGCTCGTCCGGTTCTCCGCCGAGTGGAAAGAAAGGGAGGGCGAGCGAGCGAGCGAGGAGAAGCAGCCGCCAGGGGAACACCCCGGGGGCAGATGGCTTCAGTCAGCTGCGTTCACTCCCAATGGCGGCACGTGCCGTCTTCGAGGATCCCATCCCACACAGGAGACGGCAAAGAAACCTGCGGATGAAGGCAAAAGTGTCAGCCCGTGCGCCACTCTGAAGTGCGTCCGCACACGCACACACGGGCGGGAGTGGGAAGCCCCCTCCCCCCGGCTTGTTCGTGCGGGCGTGTTGAGGGCGCCAGAACTCGCTCGAGGAAGCCAGCGCCTCGCGCCACGAGGCACTTTCTCACGGGCGCTGGAGTTCTTCGGGTCAATTCCTAAAGGAATGCCATGAAGGTCAGCCCGTGCGCCACTCTGAAGTGCGTCCGCACACGCACACACGGGCGGGAGTGGGAAGCCCCCTCCCCCCGGCTTGTTCGTGCGGGCGTGTTGAGGGCGCCAGAACTCGCTCGAGGAAGCCAGCGCCTCGCGCCACGAGGCACTTTCTCACGGGCGCTGGAGTTCTTCGGGTCAATTCCTAAAGGAATGCCATGAAGTCATT